GGGTGCACCACGTGGAGGTAAGTCTATCACACACCCCAATATGAACAACATCATCTCCCATTATGTGCGATAGACACACCTCCATGTGGTGCCCCCTGGGTAACGTATATTCACGCAGAAAATATGTTTATAAACCGGAAGTTAACTTCTCACTTCAAACTTCCATGACCCCACTGTATGTCATATTTGAACACTTCGAAAGGACTCAGCTCAACTTTTCTACACCTTCGTGTCTGCCAGTCACTCTTTTACATCTGTGAATCACTCTTATTTTCCAACTCCCCCCCCCTTCTCGACTTTTTCTCGCTTCAACGTCCCCCCCCCTGTGAAGCCCGAAGTCAACTATCATAACGCCTGCCATTTGATATAAATAAATAAAACTCTCATTATTCCACTTATTTCAATAATGGCCAAGCCATTTCTGAACGCGTTTTTAAACGCCCCTTTGAGGAGGAGTGGAGTTCACTTTCTGAATTACCAGGCAACCATATCAGTTAAATTTTTGTGCTTTTGAATGCTGTGCATTTACACATGTTAAAAAAATTAAACAATTGAGGAGACAATCATCTTCAAAACCATAAAGAAAACTACTTCCCATTCTGGTGGTCAAATAAAAACCAAGTCAGTGATTGGGCATATCCAAGCACTATCAAACCATGGTTGCAAAGAAATGGCTACCAATATTTTGGAGTATCATATAATCGTATCCGCATCAGATTATTCCGAAGCTTCACCTTTAACTCCAAATTGATTTGACTTTCGGGCATAAAGTTTCTTTAAGACGCCCATATTCCAATGAAGAGTACATTTCGTTCCTAAACTAATCCTGATAAGTCATAAACTTAAAACTTTGCTTCCGATCAGCCGATATCGTATTCGCGAAGTGCACTTCTGAAAAATTTAAGACCACCAAATGGAAGTTTGCCAGTCTGGCGATGGCCAACCATCAGGGTAAACTCTAGTCAACGAAAGCGGTGGTAGGGTGCCAGCAACTCCATAGTGTTTACATTCCTTCAAGGTTATGTGTCGTCAACGCTTTCTGCAATGAGCTTAGAAAGCAATCTGCACAGCAACTGTGACGAGAGTTTTAAGAAGAAGATCACACAAGAAATGCTTAAGTAATGACTGAATTCTGGACTTTTGATCCGAATGTGAATTGTTTTAAGACTTGCTAGTGCAAAGGAGGGTTTCGAAAATATTCAAAAGCAAGTTCCTGAATTTACGAAAACTAAAGTTGGGTTTCAACAATACCTAGTTTGAGATTATGAGATAGAAAAGGAGAGAGTTCGATACCTCGAAAATTGTCATCGATAAAAGACCTCATAGGCTTTGATTAACTGCAATCTATAAGACGAGCTAACCAAGCCGAAGTTTACAAAAGACTGCACAAAACCAATCAAAATGAAGGAGTGCTTACCTAGAACCGTATCGGCAACATCCACTTCAGTTTGAGCTTCATCAAGAAGATGATATGTATTGACAGCAATGATATCAGAAGTAGAACTGGGACTCGGATCTGAGCCACCAATGAGAAGAGGATGAAGCGATGGAGGTCGTACTGAATGCAGAATATGGTGACCTTGAAGGGGTACATGGAGATCTGTCCCGTCGATTGTTATTTCAACTTTCCATGGTCTCGCGGTAGACGCTGTACGCTCCAGAAAACACATGCCTTCACTCTCAATCGCTTCCCTAGGGGAAAGGGAAGTGTGAATTTTAACTGCACTGCCATCTTTAATTAAGAAACTCAAACGAGAGGCGGCAGCTGAATCTTGAAGGATTATAGTGAATGAACTCCCCCCCCCCCCAGAAAGATTTTAAAACGCCCAAATATGGAGTCTGAAAATCCGTTTTGGAGTAACGGAACATCACCAAAGTATGCACCCAAACAGCGAATAATTCCACGCCAATTTATTTACGAGAGGCTTAAAAACTACTTGGGAGAACTTGTGGACAGTTCGAAAATCTGATAAAATTACACTAAATTTCGTCACAGGTTCGATTTTAATGAAAAGGTAAGGGAAAAGGTGAATTATTTTTATTAATCATTGCAGACACACACGTGTTTTTACGACTTCTTGCTGGTGCCGTGGTTGTCCATTCCAGTAATTGCAAATGCATGAATACTTAAAAACTTTCAGAATGCTGATAACTGTCTCCATAGTTACTTGCCACAAAACGCACAAACAAATAATTTGCGACAATTATTGGTATCCAAAGTTTTGGACACTTAACCATTCAGTCGTTTTCAACCGATTACTACCTTAATTTTAGTAACTAGCTTTCACAATTGCACAACTCCGAGCATTCTATTGCATCTTATTGGTTAGCTGCAACAAAACTATCTGAATAAAAGAAAAAATGACGTAATCAGAACAGCCAATGAGAAGTGCATACAAATGTAAGGATTGGTTATAGATATAAATAGAAATAAATAAATAAATAGATATATAGAAATAACCCTTAGCAAATCAAAACAATGTCTAAGCGAAAACCATTTCTAACAATTTTATGCTGAAGGTTTCTATAACAGCGTGAAAAATGGAATACTAAATATTCATCAAGGCCCTATTTTAAATAAATATCTTAAATGAATGATTGAACTCTTTATTGTAGAGATCACTTTAGCTGGCAGTCCTAAAAAAAGCTCAATTCCATTATCTGGGTAATCTAATTGCCGCATAAAGAAAATCGTGACTTCAGATTAACAAATATGCCACAAAATGGTTTAAAATCAAGGATATGATCGGTATTAAACGATATAATGTAAACCTATGGGATTTATTCGTATAAAGTAGATAGATATAAAGATGATTATAAGTGGATCATGAATTACAACCTCTATATGAAATTTCATAAGTTTGGATTGAAATCGAATTACTCAAAATTCGTTAATCCAATAGTTGCTTTCAAACTGATTTCATGGGTGCTTAACAATTTCAGAATATATAGAGCTAAAATATTTCATGAAACGGTTACAGCCTAATACGGTCTAGAATTGATTGTTCTTTGGGGTAATTTTAAATACGAATAGAAATTTTAGTATAACATAATAAAAATTTACAAAATAGCTTACTGAAAGCTAAAACTCGTTCCCTTAAGAGCATCCAGAAGTTTCCCGAAAGAAGAGACCTGTTTTTGAGGATCTTTCTCGGGAGCGTCTTCTTCCTGTTTTATGTATTTCATTTCTTGAATATTTAGCCCAATAAGATCAATTTTAACATCTGCCTCCTTCAAATTTTCAATGACTTCCTCAAACTGTCCACAATCCACTTGTCCTTTCAAATTACTCAGGATAAGTAGATGTCTACTGGGATTGCCCTTAAGATTCCTGTCAAAAGAATATATGCTAAGTATAATTTCAATTACTTCGTCACTTTGATAAGATGATTGACTCCCACAAAAATGCCGTCGACAACTAAAATAAAAAGGAATAAAATAACCATTTAATCATACTATCTCCATTGACGTTGGTCGAGGAAATTTTATCGTCAATAGTTTTCAGTAAATCCCAACCGTATGGTCCGAGTGGTCGAATTAAAGAAATATGCGCAAAATTTCCACTAGAGTCTGCAATATCATTTTCGGTTTTATCAGTCCCAACAAGAACAAGACCAATGTTCTCTTTATGTTGAAGAAATAACTAGATATAAAGAGAAATTGATAATAATAATAATAATTTGAGAAATTCATGCCCTGTGTTGAATTAAGAGTGTTAAGCATCTTTTTGCAAACTCTAATGGCTTGCCATCCATGTGGGGGCCAATATCCAAAACAATACAAAGTGCAGAAGCCTAAGAAGAAAATTAGAACAAAGGTGATTAAATTATTTGTGAAATAGTATGAAAAGAGTGTTGAACATAATAAAGCAAATTGAGATTTAAAAGCTACAAATACATACAATATAATATGTTATCTGCAGTAATTACGCCATTTATTCGGAAAATATATGGAAAACATATAGATGCTGTCCAGAAAAAACGGATCACGAACCATTGATGAACAAATGAATTAGGAGTTAAGGTCATTTGATATCAGTGTAAATACTATATCATATAAACCTATTTACAAATTGTTCTGAATATATGACACTATTTTATCTTAAAATTTTTTCTGCTAAAATCTTTAATATTTTTAAATTTAGCGTTAGGTTAAATGTTTATTATTATCCAATTTTGAATAAAAAGTGTTTTCCATTCGGTTATTAACCTTCAATATTTTTTTAAATCTTTGATTTTTTCAAAATTGAATGAAACTTTAATCTTGAAGGATACGTTTGTAACGATTTGCTGGAGTGTTAAATAAGCAGTAAACAGTAATGACATGACATTGCAGAAATCACAAGTCTTTTTTCCGCAACAAAGGGATTGTGCTGGAAACGTCTTAATGTCATCCCAACCTATAAAAAATCTGCCTTAGTTATACCATATTAACGCATCATTATTAAATAGAGTTTATAATTATACTTCTATTAAAGCTTATTCACTTTCAACGAGTTATACAAACAATGAATTGTACTATAAGCAGGTCATTAGATTAATTTCATTGCATGTAAGTGAAATGTATGTTCCATTCGTGTTATACTTAATTTCAATCCACGAGGGGATAATTTACTGAAATGCATAGCAGTAAGATCTATTCCGAATCCAAATAATAAAATGGTTTCCCGATATTTCCCAACAAAATAATGGCTAAAAGCTACCATCAGAGATAAAGAAATATAATTTATTTGAATAATCAAATTCCTTGTAATCGGTTATTATTAATCTTTGATATATTGAAGCCGAATTCAGGTTTTCTCCTATTACCTTGCCTAACTTTTAAATCTGTTACTTAACAATGTCCAGTAAAAGTTAAGCTTACATGGTCGATATTTAATCAAGATTTGGAGCGCGCTTACTGAAAAAGCCAGAGAATTTTAATTTTTCTAAAATATGGTCTTCATTGATCTAACTAATAAACACTTGTCAACGTTGAAAAATTTGTCATATTTTCAAGCTATTACTTAAACTTCATTGGTAAAATTGGCTGTTTGAACTATTACCAGTTTAAGAAGAAACTTGAGTGTCTTTGAGCAATCCTATTATAAATTAGTCCCTTGGAGGGGGGGGGGGGGAATGTAGTTGAAGTTATTTAATTTATACTAATGGAAAATTAAAATTTAACCTTGAGACAGGGTTCTTTTCTCTTAGTTGAACGAATCCAAAAGTCTCACCGTTTTATTTGCCAATAATAGCACAGGAAAAACGAATGAACGAAAGGCGGTTCCTTACTGGAATAGAAGAAAATTAATCCCTTCGAAAATATTTAACCCGAACTTAGACGGAGTTTGTGGTTTATAGAATGCCATTGATATCATAAGATTTACCTGGCCTCTTCGCGATAACTCTATTCAACAGATATTTTGTCAACTAAGGAATGCTAGGACCTAATATCGATGGTGCTATGGTGCATATCCTTAAACAATATAACAGTATATATATATAGCACAGTGAACTATTTCGTATGTATTGGACGTTGTCGAGAGCCACCAATGTCTACGCCAATATCATTTATATATTTATTTATTTATATCAAATGGCAGGCGTTTTGATGGTTGTCATTAGCCCATTAGTTGACTTCAGGCTTCACAGAGGTAGCCCTTTAATTGACTTCGGGCTTCATAGAGGGAAGGTTGTCATTAGCCCATTAGTTGACTTCAGGCTTCACAGAGTGGAAGCAACATCAAAATGAAAAAAAATTCGAGAGGGGGGAGCAGAGGTTTTTCAAAGACAAAGGTAGTAAAAGGTAGAAAAAAGGTGAGGTGAGTACTGTGAAATAGTCGAATATGACATACAGTTGGTTGATGGAAGTTTGAAGTGAGAAGTCAACTAACGGTTAATAGACTTTTTCGTATGAGAATACGTTGCTCAGGGTGCACCACGTGGAGGTAAGTCTATCGCACACCCCGTGCCAACGTAATAAAAGTCAGTCGGGTATTGGAATGAAAAAAACCGTTTACGAGACCCTTTTCTAGATGACTCAGAAAACCAGCTTACTTGATGTTCCGAGGCTGGGGTCAGGGTCGTGGTGTGGGTGGAATGAGGCTGTAGTAGACTTAAATGAGAATCATTTTGCTTAAAATTGTTTGGCAATAGAGTTATTTCCAGTGTCTTTTTCCAGGTGAATACTCTGTTTGGTATCCAACGCTCAATTTCCCTAAGTAATTATATTACACTCGAAAACGAATAGTTTCAAAAATCAATGCTCGAAAAACATGCAATTTCTATTGTTTGTTTTTTTTGTTTTTAAGAATTGAATATCTGAAAAGTAAGAGTGAGTTCGTTCGACCTAAGGCGGTCAAAATTTCGTCAAATGAAGTGGCGAAGGGAATGCAAACTTTATCAAGTTCTAACCAATTCCGATTACATTAAATTACGCACTTTTGAGAGGGAGAGAGCTAATCCTTTGTTAAGAGGATTAAAAACGATTATACCCATTTTTAACCACACTTACTAAAACTATAATGGATCAATCAGAGTAATTACAAGAAAGTGCATGGATATATTCCCTAATGAAATTTAAGTAATGATTGAAACTTAAAAACACTGAAATTCTGGCAAGTTAAGTGTATGAATTTAGAAAAGAACCTTTCACTTTTTTTGTAAAAATGTAATACCTCAGCAGTAGAGTCAAGAAAAATAGATCCAGAAGGACTGTGAGATCAATTGCTTTAATGAGCAGTCAGCTGATAAATCATATGTTGCCGCTGTGGCTTTACCTCTCAACCTATAAATATCTGATCCACTGCTGAGAAATTGCTTAGTTCAGACTCCTGACTTTGCTAGAAAATTCCAGTCACCCAAGGCTTGACCTGAGTGTAGTTGGTAATCCATTCATGTCTATCTGTTAAACAATTACCAACAATTGTAATATTAATAGCTTTGTATGGATTGAAATAATGGCAACGAAACAAAGGACTTTCCATTGTTTCATTTTAATGGTTCTGGTGGGGTGATAGTTACCTAAGTATTTGTTCACATCTTTATGCTCCCGATTTCTAAATTCACGATTCTTCTTCAAGTTTACTTTTTTAACCCTCGCCTTCAATGTTCAGGGTGTATGAACTCAATTATAGACATTCTTTGAATTGTGAATTTTGCTGGAATTTTGCTCCCTTATTGGAAACTTCCAACATATGTTTAAGATCAGGAAAAAGTGAAATATATTAAACACCGGCCTCATCGTCGAATTTTTCTCACCTTACTACTTTGGAAATAAATAGGCTATTGTATTGTCTAGTCAAAATTGAGTTTAACAATTGATGTCTGCAAACCAGATTAGCATTTACAGAACCAAAATAAATAAATAAATTAGGTAACCATATCCACAAAACAATATAGAAATTAATCTCTGTTTCAAATTAAGTTGTTTCTTAATGAACATGCTCTTGGGAGATATTTGTGCTCACTTGTTGCAGTGATGCAATTAAATTTGAAATTTTAAATGGGGCCTCTCAGTTAATGACCTAGTTGCTAACATTTTCCGATAAATGTTAGACTTCTAAATACTATTTACCTGCAATTAATTGATTGTTCTAGCTATTAAAAAGGTAGTCAACTTCTGCTTAGTGATGCCTACTAAGAGCTAACTTATAATAGTGTGCAATAGACTTACCTCCACATGGTGCACCCTGGGTAACGTATATTCATACGGCAAAAAAGTCTCTCACTTCAAACTGCAATCACCTCACTCTATGCCATATTCGACTATTTCCACAGTATTCACCTCACCTTTCTTTTAACTTTGTGTTTGTCTCTTTCGTCTTTGAAACACTCTTCTGTCCCCCCCCCCTCTCGACTTTTTTCAATTTAATGTTCCTTCCCTCTGTGAAGCCTGAATTCAACTAAAGGACTAATGATAACCATCAAAATGTCTGCCATTTGATATAAATAAATAAATAAACAGTTGCATTTTTCTTGGAATTGCAGCGTTATATAAGTGATGACTACTAAGAGCTAACTTATAATAGTATCGAACAAGACCAGATCAAGCGTTACACGTTGACAGTCCACTCAAAACTCCTGTGAACGAAAACCCAGGACGATTCAAGAAGTACCACCGTCAGCTTTCTAATAAGTTGACAGAATGCATGGTTCAAAGTCTGCCAGGTCCTAAAAAGCTCTTGCTCTACCTCTCTCCC